GATCTCTGTCCTTTCTACAATCATAGCGTCTGATACTTTGGCAAATGCTTTGCTAAAATCTAGGCCAACAAGAGCTCCTGCACTCCCTAAGAAGTCTAACAGCTGTGAGGTGAGTTGGGCATCATCTGCTCTTAATTCAGCTTTGCTGGCTCTATGTTAATCTTTCTGCCTCTATTAGATGTCAGGGAAACATCTCTTTAATGATACATCCTAAAATTTTCCCAGGTGCTTACTGGCCCATAGTTTACAGAGTATTATCTTGCTCCTTCTCCAACCTTTGCCCTTGTGGTCTGTGGCACCTCTGCCATTCTCTACGGTCTTTCTGTGTCCTGGTATTGAGATCATCTGGATCTAGTGACCCAAACCATTCAATGACTGCTGGGTCTCTCTTGCTATCTCCTTACTTATCTTCAATTTCAGATGCCTCTTCCTTGGATTTGTTTTGCTCTTTCCAGCTCAAAAATTATTCTCCTTGGTAGAAAAAAAAAGGCAGCAACCCAAGAATTGGCTGGTTCTACCATCTTGTCATCCATTCCCATCATTCCAGCCCCATGAGAGGACCTTCTCTGAGTCTCTTCTCTCCAATATAGCCACAAGCCCCCTCCATCTTCCCTTCAAGGTTTAGTTGGATAACACTTCCTCTATGAAGCATTCCCTGATCACCCTAATTACTGGAAGCCTTTCCTCCTGAAATCACCCAAAAGCTCAATGTTTGATCTCTTTTTTGTCCTTTTCACAGTTCATTTGTAATATATTCATTTGTGTGTGTTCATGTTGCATTCCTCCCATAGAATGTGAGCTCTTTGAAGGTTTATTACCTTTGTGTCTCCCATGTCTACCACAGTGCCTGGTGCATAGTAGGTGCTTAATGAAGAATTCTTGACTTGGATGAAAGTCAGACACTGCCAGAGTCGCAAGTACAAGATGGTAAGAAGAACATCACTAGAGAGGGGAAGTCATTGACAGAATACAATGCCGAAGGCAGGGGTGGGGAGGTGTCAAGTAACAAGACTCATTGGCTTGCGGAAATGTCTGGAGTGTGGGGTATAAACAGAGTCAATCATAAAACAGAGTCAATTAACACTATTAATATAATGAAGTCCATTTGACCTCTTGGCTTCACCAAGTTTTAGTTGAGTGGGACCCATGACTCAATATGGCTCTACAAGGATCGCTATCTTTCAAAGGAAATAGATTAGAAAACGTAAGGGTAGAATGCAGTAGTGTTCCATATTAAGGAGACCTCATGAGGAAATCCATGAGCTTGGTGGTGGGGGAGGGGCATGTTGTAAGGGAACATGGTGGAGAGCATTTGGGGAGGATCAATGCTTGTGGGAGGGGAGAGAAGAAACAGAAGTCATATTGTGTGTTCACCATGAATGAGATGGCCTCAGAGAGGTTCTAGGATCATACAATTCTCTAGGATGGCAGGTCTCCAGAAATATGAGAAAAAAGCCCTTACCTCTTTCTCTCCTTGTCCCCTTTCTCAGATGGTTCCTCCCAAGAAAAGGGTGAGCCGAGATGCTCTCCAAGTCCTTTCCAGTTTTGACATTCTAGGCTTTTTCCTACTTTCCAGAGCTGTTTTGAGGAAAGTGCTTAGGAAACCTTCAAGTGCTAGACAGATGCTATATTGTATTTCTAAGCATTTTGCTAGGTGGAAGTGTGGTTTTGCCCAGTTTATTTGTTTTAGTCCTGGGCCTGGGCTAAGCTGTGAGGCTGGGCCTTTCAAAGTCCCTATCAATGCTCAGATAAGTCTATGACTAGAAGATGCCTCAGAGTGCAGGAGATCTGGACCTGTCAGGGACTTAGGGTCATAGCCTGAGAGCTGGAAGTAACTCAAAAAATCATTGAGCCTAATCACTGCCCCCCCCCCCCATTTTATAGAGGAAGAAACTGAGGCCCTAAAGGAGAAGTGACTCATCCATGGACATGTGAATTGCAAGTGCCAGGACTGGTATTTGGACTTTTATAGTCAGTGTTTTTGGAATGACTGAATGAACCAGCCTTTGGCTTCTGTCTCATTGATCTGACGTCTGTGTGGACAGACCTAGCCTGATTTCCTGCAGGGCCTTCTATGTAGATATACATTAATTTTCATGCCTGTGGTTTAGTCTAATAAATTATCCTGCACCTGTTTAGAGGATTTAACCCAGGGCCTCAAGTCATTAGTCACAGACTCTTGGTGAGATTCTGTCTGGACGTTGGAATCTGGACTCTTCAGGGGAGAAGCTGAGGTGCCTGGTGATGTTCTCCTCTGGGGCCCTGATCCTATGGCTGGATGGGCACCCTGGGCATAATTCAGTCCCCACAAATGGCAATGGCAAAGCAAGGTCACCAAAACACCAGTGCACCATTACTAAGTTCCGTACCTGGGCTGTTCTACATGGTGTTCAATGCCTGTCTGTCCCCAGGAACTCCCCTGCTCTTGGATTGGCAGGGGGAAATGAGCTTGGTTAACCATATGGCTTCTGGGTGAGAGAAATGATTATTAATAGCCAATGACTTGGGGAGATTCAGAGCTCCCCCCCTTTTCTATCCTCATTTCTTTTTTTAAATTTCTTTATTATTATTATTATTATTATTATTATTATTGTTTTCAACATTTGCTTCCACAAGATTTTGAGTTCCAAATTTTCTCCCCATCTTGCCCCTCCCCCACCCCAAGATGGCATGCATTCTGAATACCCCTTCCCCTAGTCTGTCTTCCCTTCTATCTCTCCCCCCCTTCTCTTATTCCCTTCCCTTTCAATTTTCCTGTAGGGCAGGATGTATTTCTGTACCCCATTTCCTGTATTTCTTATTTCCCAGTTGCATGTGAAAATACTTTTTTTTAAACATGTGTTTTTAAAACTTTGGGTTCCAAATTTTCTCCCTTCCTCCCTCCCCACCCACCCTCATTGATAAGGCAAGCAACTAAATATAGGTTATATATATGCAGTTATGCAAAACACTTCCATAGTAGACATGCTGTGAAAAACTAACTCTATTTCCCTTAATCCTATCCTGCCCACCCATTTATTCTATTCTTTCTTTTGACCCTGTCCCTCCTCAGAAGTATTTGCTTCTGATTACTCCCTTTCCCAATCTGCCCTCCTCTTTATCATTCCCCTACTCTCTTGTGCCCTTCCCCTCCTATTTTCTTGTAGGGTAAGACAGATTTCCACACCCAATTGTGTGTGTATGTTATTCCCTTCTTAAGCCAAGTCCTATGAGAATAAGATTCGCTCATTCCCTCTCACCCTCCCCTGTTTCCCCTCCACTGTAAGAGCCTTTTCTTTTCTGGTTTTTTTTTTTTTGTGCTATCCTCATTTCAAGACCTCAGTCTCTGAAGGTTGAGCTAACCTTCCCCTCTATTCAGGACCACCCAGCCTTACAAGGAATCTCTAGTCTAAGGGGAATTTCATTACATCAAGCTTGGGTGGAGACAGAGCCTCCGGTCTAGATTGCCCAAGGCTGAGGGTGGTCAGGGTAGAGAGATGGTCTCTTAGTCCAAGGGTGACTTGATGTCACTCTCAGCCCTCATTGTAGTGAGCCCACTTCTCTTGGTAAAGTCCACCTCTCATTAACTGTTAGCCAGTCAGAGTTGGCTGCTACCCTTTTGAACACTCCTCTTCCAAAAAAACATATAAACCAGGGGTGGGGAGCCTGCAGCCTTCTCCTCTAGGTCCTCAAGTGTGGCCCTTTGACTGAATCCAAACTTCACAGAACAAATCCTCAGGCTGCAGGTTCCCCACCACTGAATTACAAACTTTGAGCCCACTGCCAGGATTGTCTTTGGTCTAAGAAGGAGAGGGCCAAATGACCATCCTTTTGTCAAAATGCTGGCATTATTATTAAAATGACTAAATTACCCAGAAGGTATGTCTCTTGGGCAGGTGGCAGAGAGCTCTGTGCCCCAGAAGGAGGCTTGGTGGCCAGCTCCTCTCATTTCTATTTCTCACCTTTCCCCTCATCCTATTGCAAGCTGGGCTATTCTTCCCGTGGGTCATGGAGGAATGAGTGACTCCTGGTGCTTCTTCATCCACACTGAATGTTTGACCAGGTAGCACTAGCTCAGATGGAGCTGGTCTGGCCCCAGATGATTCAGACCCTCTCCACAGCTTCTAAGGAAGACGCTAGCTCCCCAGCTCATCACAACGCAGATTTTATTACACAGCAAGTAGGAGAAGGGGATGTTATTCTCAGGGAAATGTTTGGAATGGAAATAATTAAAAAAGCCATCCTCCAAAAAGTACACACATTAATGTATATCTTCTCTTCATTAAATATATATCTGTTTGGCAAAAAATGTTAGACTCTTTTGTACAAAACAAAAACAAAAACCCTCGCAGATTTCTAACACTCGTAACGATTATAGCAATGTAAACCGGGATGTCTGGCAGCTCCACCAATGCTGGGGAACCCAAGGCGAAGTAAGAGCCCTCGCCAGAGGAAGGGACACTGAGCCCTGGGAGGGGGAGGTCCAAAGCCAGGGTGAGAGGGAGGCATTCAGGGTTAGTGACTCTGCATGGGCATGAGTGCATGCACGCACGTGTGTGTGTGTGTGTGTGTGTGTGTGTGTGTGTGAGAGAGAGAGAGAGAGAGAGAGAGAGAGAGGAGAGAGAGGGAGAGAGAGAGAGAGAGAGCAAGAGAGGGGAGGGAGATACAGAGAGAAAGAACAGAAAGGCAGGAAGAAACAGAGAGAAAGAATAGAGAAAGAGAGAGACAGACACAAAGAGAAAGAGACAGAGACAGGAGACAGACACAGAAATAGGCAGGGGAAGAAAGAGTGACAGAGAGAGACAGATGGACACAGAGAAAAGTAACAGAAAAATGCACAGAGAAGGAAAAAAGAGGGAAATAGAGAAAAAGAAAGAGAAGGACAGAAGAAAAGGGAGGAACAGAGAGAAAGGAGAGGGGAGAAGGGGACAGATGGGAAGAGAGAGGGAGGAGAGGTGGGGGGAGAGAGAGAGAGAAGAAGAAGAGGAGGAGGAGGAGGAGGAGGAAGGAGAAACAGAGTTGGGAAGACTGGGGGAGAAAGAGGGAAGGTAAAAGAGATGAAAAGGAAGAGGAGGACGAAGAGGAGGAAGGGAGAGACCACACCTAGGGGTTTCATAATTTGTGCTTTGAGTTAATAAACTAGAAAGGGGGAAAGGGGGAAAGGGAGCCTAGAACCCGTTAGAAAGAAGACAGTGAGGACTGAGGGCCTGGAACAGGGACAGCGAGAAGCCTACAGGCGTGAATCCAGCACTTTCGTCCTTTGGGAGATCAAACTGTGGTGAAGCCCTGGGGATGGATGGCAGTCCTCCTTCTGGTTTTTGTAGAGGGAAGGGAGGAGAGGAGGAAGGTGAGATGATGGGGCAGGGATGGTGGAAGACGGGGCACGAAGGGAAGACTGGAGTCACAAGCGGTCCTCAGTTCCCTGTGTCCTGGCCCCGGTGGTTCCTCTTGGGAGCAGTGGTTGCTCTTTGCCCTCTCCTGCTGTCTCCAGGCCTGCTCCCTGGACAGTCTACTCTGGGCCATTTGGCTGGAAGGTGGGCTCTTGTGACTCCCGAATCCAAGGCTGGGTCCCTTCACAGTTCTCAGTGGTGATGGTGGGACTTTGCTCTATCCCATATTGGGCTGCAGCAGTGAGAAGGTAAGTATAGCATTGTAGTCTCTGAAAATGATCGACCCATCGATCAATCGCTGATTGGCACAGAGGGTGGGGGGAGGGAGGGAGGAAGTGCAGGGGGAGATGTTGGGTGGAGGTGAGAGGCGGAGGAGGTGGGGGCCCTGGACATCACCCCAAAGGGACCCCAAGTGTGTTCTCACTCATGTTTCCAGTTATCGCAGTTGTATTTTGAGTTCAGCAGGGGCACCAGGGTGGGCAGGGTCGGGGCCAGGGGCGCCCTCAGTTACAGTCATAGACAAAGTCGTAGTTGCTGGGCTCCTTGGGAATGGGGGGAGGCGCGTCGGGGATCTGAATGTTCTCCAGGTCGAGGAGGCGAAGCTTGATCTCCATGCTGAGCAGAGTGTCCAGGTCATTGCGGGTGAGGTCACTCAGCATGTCCTTGCCCAGCAGGGCATTGAGCCCGTCCGTCCAGATGCAGTACTGCAGGCAAGGGAGAAGAAAAAGCAGCTTGTGTGAGTACCCGAGGACCAGCATGCTGACCTGCCCGCCAAAGAAATGACCAGAGAAAAGGGGCGACGGTAATCTTGGCTGGAAACATTCCAGGAGACTCCAGGGACCTCTCAGAAGATGCTGAGACTAGGGGCCCAGGGACATTAAAAACAAAAGCAGCTGGCAGGGACATACCTGAGGTTTGAAAGCACTTTACCTGCAGAGGCTCATCTGAGCCTCACAATAGGTTCTTAAGGCAGGTGCACCTGGTACCTTGACGTATGAAGAAACTGAGGCCAGAGAGGAAATGTAAAGTGCCCACACTACCCAGCTGGTGAGTGTCAGGGGTGAGGGTTTGAATGCAAGACCTCTGATTCCATTATAGATAGATAGGTAGATATGGAGATATAAATGTGGAGAGATAGATAGACACAATGCAAAGAATACATATATAGATGTCTGTGGATATATGGACACACACATATACAAATATATACACATACACACATAATACATATGTGTACAGATGTTTAAGTATATATGGATATACATATACTCAACACATATGTACATAGGATAGGTTTATGGATGGATGGATGGACACATACATATAAATAGATGCATATCTAAAGCAATACATATGTATATAGATATGTTTATATATGTATGGGCACACACAGATAGAAATTTATACATATATACACACAACACATATGTATATAGACATAGTTCTATATGTGTGACCAGACACAAATATATACATGTATACATGCATACATAATTAAACATAAAACAGATCTATAAATACTCACATACATGCACGTATATGCACATGCAGTTGGATATAACATATATAAATAAAAACATAAAATGTGTCTATAGACATACACATACATACATGCACACATATACATGTAGTTATACATAACATATAATGAAACTAAAAATCAAATATGTTTAAAACATATGCATAGATGTGTACATGTATTTACACATAACACATATGATAAAATAGAAATCTGAAGAACACCTGTAAATATACATATACATACATTTATATGTAACATACAATTAACTAAAATATATCAAAACCTCCACAAGCACAGGCATATATGTTTACATGTAACATGCATAACTAAATAGAAATCTGAAGACAATCCATAAACATCCAAATAGAAAATACCGGATCGCCATGTGCCTACTTGTGCTTTGGGGCTGCATTATTTTTACAGAGAAGGACACTGAGGCTCCGTGAGGTTAAGGAGTCTGCTTATGGTCCCACAGGTCGGGCCAGGTTCAAAGTCAGGGCTCCTGATATTAAGCCCTGAATGAAGGTTCTTTCCTGTAGGCAGAACCACAGATTCTCCAAAGTGGACGTGTTGTCTAGTCTGGTCCAGAGGTCTACCCCCACCCTCCACAGCTCAGGCACAAGCCTTGAAGCCTCCCTGCCCCGTCAGCCCCTACCCCTTCAGTGAGGGGCTTCTTCTCGGACACCAAGCCTAACTTTGTCTTTTTCGGGGCTTCCTTCCGTGGCTCTCAGACGGTCCGGCAGAACAGGCCCGCTGCCTTCTGTATGGCAGGCCCTCCAAGAGCCATCACACCCCCAGGTTTGCCCGACTGCTCCTCCCAGGGCCCTGGCCCGGCCTCCCTGACTGATCCCTGGCCTCCCTCAAAGGCAGTGCCTGGGACTGCCTCCCCGATTCCCACTGGTGACACCCTGGTCCACAGCCAGTTGTATTTCCAGGAGAAGGCCCAAGTTCTATCTCCTCTCTTAAGGAAATGTCAAGTGAGAGGGAATGATACTTAAGCCTCGTTCTAAATTCAGGGCTTATATATCATCTTTCCTCCCTTTTCAGGAAGTACCATCTTATCGAGAAACTGCCGCCTGTGAAGAGCAGACACTGAATAATACTGCAGTGAGCTGATGGGCCTCCCGGGCCTCGAGAGAGGAATGCAGAGGAGGCCGCTGGCATCCGGCAGTCGGGAGGAGGGATGCTCCGCACAGCCTTCAGGCTCCCAACGGCTCCTCCCCACGCCAATGCCGGAGTGCTCGTGCCTTGAGGGAGACGATTGTCTTTCCCTTCTCCAGGTGTCTAGTACACAGCAGAGGGCTCTTTTTTTGTCTATGTGTCTGCGCATATTGGCTGATTGATAGATTCATCAGGAAATGGGGCTCTGTTTAGCGAGGGAAGTGGGAGGGATGCTGGCTCGGATCCAGCACCCGCTGGCGGCCACCAGTGAGGTCCTGCGTGGAGGAGCTGCCTGGGCCTCAGTTTCCCCTGGTGGAAGGGTCACACTGGTGGCTCCTACTTCCCAGAACTGTTAGGAGAGAGCTCCAGGAGGCTGAGCGGTTCTTACTACTGGCAATTCTTTCTCCCAAACATCTTTCCCGAGGTTTCATGCTGATGGGTGGGTTTTAAATATAGCTCCCAGCATGTTTTAACAGGGAGAAACAAATTATACGTGTGGCGAAATGTCAAGGAGGAGGAATAAAGCAAACTTGAATATAAAATTTTGACAGCACAGATAGTCCCGAACTTTTTAAAAAAAACCTTAATTTTTTTTCTTTTGGCAAAATTCATGGCTTTAAATGATTTGTACAGGACAAAACTGAAGACACGAGAACGATTTAATTTTGGAAATTCTGAAATAAGTTCTGAGGATTAACCATAAGCCCCAGAGCTGCCTCCCCACGAGGCTGAGCCTGGGCCCTAGAGTGAGGGACGCCTGGAAGGAGGCGTGGTCTTCCTCTAGCCCCGCCCAATCCCTCAGGGCGAGCCTGGTGTCCCTCCTGGGGTGCTCCGAGGTCTCCGGACAGCGCCCAGCCCTGCCCTGCCTTTGGGGGGAGGAGTGTCTTGTGTTTATGTTTCTCTGGATTCAGATAAAGCCCAAGCTTTGGAGTCAGAAACTGATGCTGGGTATTTCTAAGGATGAGGGGCCTTGTCCCCCAGAGTCTCAGAGAGGTTGGAATTTGTCTCAAATCTCGAAGCTAGCAAGGGATATGAATCCTATTCCCATTATGGGGCCTCTTTTGTTCCACTTGGAATCAGTCAATCCACAAACATCTATTAAACACTCACTGTGTGCTGCTAGGCACCGGGCTAAAGACGGAGCATCCAAAGAAAAGCCACCCCTCCCAACAACCCTCAAATAACAGTGGTCCCTGCCTTCAAAGAGCTTACACTCTATAGGGGGAGGAGTTATGTGTAAATACATGTACACGTCTGTGCATATGTTTTATAGTGCTATGACCAGGTGGGCAGTTTATCGGAAGCTGGCGGTAGAGTGGACAAAGAGCTGGCCTTGGAGTCAGGACGACCTGAGGTCAAATCCAGTCTCAGGCTGGCACCAGCTGTGTGGTCCTGGGCAAGTCACTCGACCTGCCTGCCTCAGTTTCCTCATCTGTAAAATGAGGATACTCATAGGACCTCCTTTACAGGGGCTCTGTGAGGATCAAATGAGATACGATATGAGTAGCCTCCGCAAACGTCAAGGGGCGATGGGATGGTCAAACACTTGGGAGCCCCTTTGACCGTGTTGGAAGCACCAAGGTTCGTGCTTTGCTCTCTCTCTCTTTCTGTTTGTCCCCTCCCCCTCCAGACGACTCAGCGTTCCAGGGAAAGTCGTCCCAGCGTGAGCAGCCCTTACCTCGTGCTTATCAGGAGCGATGAAGTTGAGCTGGCAGTTGGAGTCATACAGGATGGAGAAGGCGAGCTCCAGGACCTCCTAGAAGGACACAGGGGAGGGGGGTCATCAGCCTTGTCACTGCCCAGGTTGTGGAGGAGGGGCAGGGCAGGGGGAGGGGAGGGGGATGGGGCAGAGTCAGGATGGATGTGGCGGAGGGACGCGGCGCATCTCAGGCTCCTCCTTCACAAGGTTTCCAGGGGTACCCACCTCACCCATTCCCATCCTCAGGGAATATGCACCAAATGCACTGAGGCCAGATGGGCTTCCTGTGAACTCCACACCCTCTGGGGATCTCTGGGTCGTTTCTTCTCCTGTGAGGACCTTTTGGGAAATCCCCAAGGCCAAGGACTAAGGTTGTAGGAACACGGAGATTTTAATCCAACTGCCTCATATAAAAAAGAGGGGAAACTGAGGAAGCTGCAGGAGGGGTAAGGGCTTGCCCAAGATTATGAAGTTTATGAGTAGAAGGGCTTGGATTTGACCCCGAGTTTTCTGTCTTCTAAGTGAGAGTGTAGAAGCACGTGTGCCAGAAATTTAAGCAGCCCGATGGACTGGGCAGCCTTGGAGAATTGTAGAGAGCCAGTACTGGAAACAAGAAGACCAGAGTTCAAATGCTGCCACTGCCCTATAATTTCCGTTCACCGTGGGTAAGTCACAGAAGCTGAGAGCTGGGAGGGACTTTAGCAGCGTCCTGGTCCAGCCCATACTCAGAAGAAATTCCTGCACTAACAGACCGACAAGCCGCGTGCCGCCTTTGCCTGGAGATGCTCCAGGCCGCCCTGGCCTGTTGGAAACAGTGTTTGCTGCCTGACAACCGAGCCTCAACGTGCCTCTTTACACCTTCCTCCGGCTGGTCCCATTTCTGCTTCCTAGGGCCACGCACCCAGTCAGATCTCTCTTCCACATGACAGCCTTTGAAGTGCTTGAAGACAGCGACTCTGTCCATCACAAGTCTTCTCTTGTCCAGGCTAAACACCCCCAACTCCTTCAGACGATAATCTCATCGCACCAATATATGCCCTTCCCTCTCCTGTTTACCCTTCCCCAAATACCCTCATTCTTAAAGAGAGGTGCCCAGAAGTGACTAAAGTCCTTCAGCTGAGTTATGGGCAGAGGACTGTGTGTGTGTGTGTGGGGGGAAGGGTCACCTCCTCAGTCCTGGAGACTATACCTTTATGTGTGTGTGTGTGTGTGTGTGTGTGTGTGTGGCAATGGAGTGAAGTGACTTGCCCAGGGTCACACAGCTAGTAAGTGTCAAGTGTCTGAAGCCAGGTTTGACCTCAAGTCTTCCTCAATCCACTGAGCCATCTAGTTGCCCCAAGGCTATACTTTTCTTGATGAAGTCCCAAATCTCATTGGCTGGTACATTACACTAATGACACATATTAACTTGTGGTCCACTAAAACTCCCAGATCTTTTTCAAAACAACTGTTACTGAACCATGCCTTCTCTATCTTATACTTGAAAAGTATTTTTTATTTTTTATTTTTTACTCAAGAATAAGACTTTTCTTTAAAGGACAAGACTAAAAAAAATTCCCCATTTAATTTCAACTTAGAAGTTTTAGCCTAATGCTCTTTGGTCAAGATCCTTTTGGATCCGGAATTGGTCATCCACTTTGCTCCATCTGCCAATCTGATGAGCATATGCCATCAATGCCTTTATCCAAGTCATTGATAAAATGCTAAACAGCCCAGATCTCAGGGAGGCTCTCCTCTATCACAAACTCTAGAGGAGAGAGTGGTCACTATCCCTCCAGAGTCCCATCATTCCCAGCTGGAAATCAGTTACTGTTAGTGAGAATCGGATCCATAATAGATTTCCTCCTTTTATCCCTAAGGCCAGTCAAGGAGTTTTTAGGTGCTTTGGTGTGTGTGTGTGTGTGTGTGTGTGTGTGTGTGTGTGTGTGTGTGTGTGTGTGTGTGTGAGAGAGAGAGAGAGACAGACAAAGACAGGCAGAGACAGAGAGACAGAGAGAAAGAGAGAGAGAGAGACAGACAGAGAGAAAGAGACAAAGACAGAGAGACACAGAGAGACGGATGCAGAAGTCTGGACCACTGAAGCCCTCTATACCAGGCTTATAAATCATTCCTGAGTCTCTTATCTGCTTTCTGACTTGGTGGTTTACATTAGGCTCCAAAGACAAAATCATTTATCTTCTAGGGGCAGGCACCTCTAAGACTCTCAGTGACAGACAACCTAACAATTGGAGGGGAGGAGGGAGTTTCCCACCCCAGTTGCTCCATACCCAGTCCAGGGAAGCTGCAGAGAGTGGATCCAGCCAGGAGAAGGCACTGAGAAAGAAGTCGGGAGCCATGTCCCTCATGAAGGACACCTCTTGTTTCTCTCGTTCTTGGGGCATGTTCCCCTCTCCCCACAGGGGTGGCTTCCTGGGTCTGAGCTGCTAACCCCAAGCCCTGGACCAGTGCCCATCACATGTCCCCCTGCCCAGACTGTTCTGGGCAGCTCTAGAGGGCCTTTCACTCGAGTGGTGCCTGGTCAATGGCTGAGGTGGTGAAGAGCATTGCCATTTACCAGCAAGCTTGGGCTGCTTTTCCCCAGCTCTCACTTGGGGTCCTCTGATTTCTCACTAAGAAGTGTTTTGTCCCATTGGGAGGGAAGCCCTCCCTGGACCCTGCCTGCCCTGCCTTGTCTAAGCATGGGGGGGTTCCAGGCTCCTGAGGGTCCTGCCAAGGGGGCTTGGAGGGCAAGCCCATGCACGACCCATGGATGCTGAGTGCTGGGTTAGCTGAAGGGCAGGATGAGTCTTTTGGTGACAATATGACAACCCATCCTGACATAGAGCATGGGATAGACAGAAAGTTCACTTGCTTCTCTTTTCACCCCAAGGGATCCTCCACCCTCCATCCCCCCAGGTTGTTTGTTCAGATGAATTATCTTAGGGGTACTTGTGTTATTTGATGGATTCATGATGTCATTGGGTGGGGGGCTCATTCCCCAGTGCAGGGCATGGCCCCTTCTCCAAGTCTCACCTTAGGTTCTGGTCCCTGTCTTTCCATATGTCCTGCACAGAGGAACTTCTTAATGACTAGAGGCCTCTCTTCTAGAGGGGCTGCCATTTGCCTTGGTTGGGACCCACACTGACAAAGTCATGACTCCTTCTAGTGGAATAGGGAGGTGGCCAATGATTGCTCAAGAACGAACAGGCATAGGGACAGCTAGGTGGCGCAGTAGATAGAGCACCGGCCCTGGAGTCAGGAGGACCCGAGTTCAAATCTGACCTCAGACACACAACACTAACTGTGCGACCCTGGGAAAGTCACTTAACTATACTGCCTAGCCAAAAAAAAAAAAAAAAAGTGAACAGGCATTTATGAAGCACTGACTGTATGTCTGCTACTGTTTCAGCCTCAGGAATTCAAAGACAAAATGGAAACTATCTTTGCCCTCAAAGAGCTTCCATTCTACTGAGGAGAGAACAAGTACATATGTAATTACATACAGAATTAATATAAATATAAGGTACTTTAGGGAGGGGGAGGGTACGGGCAGCTGAGGAATTGAGAAAGGTTTTGAGTAGGTGGCAGGGTTGGCGGCAGGAATCATTGCTTGTCTCCTACAGGGATCCTGGGGAAAGTGAGACACACCCATGGATTCCAGAGCTGCTGTAACAAGAGTCCATCTTCTTGATATTTTTCCAGAGGTGGAACCAGCTGTCTCTCAGGACCTACCACCTCCCAAGACTCTAAGCTGCAGTGGACCCAGAGGGCACTGGAGAGATGCATGCTGGGCCTTCGGATAGGCACCATGTTGCCAAAGAGGACTGGTACAAAGACAACATCATTGAGGGCACATCTGAGCAGAAAAGGAGGTGGGCTGGTCACAAGGAGAGAGACAATGGATGGATTCCCTGAAGGCTGCCATAGATTTGTGAAATATTAACAGACTGTGAAGGTGGCCTCAAAGCATTAGGAAGTTCCTCTGTGCCGGACTTATGGAAAACATGGACCAGAGCCCAGAGTGTCCTGCATTGGGGTGTGAGCCCCCTCCCCCATCCTCCACCTTATGATCTCATGAATCCATCAAATCATACAAGTATCCACAAGGCCATTCTTGGGAATATATGGCCTTGGGGGAACGAGGGGGTAGAGGATCCTTTGGGGTGAGAATAGAGGAAGAAGAGGGTGGGCCTCCTTCCACAACTGGCCCTTCTATCCCACCCTCAGCAGATGCCTCATCAGGGCCTATGAGGGAAGTGAAGGGATTGCAACAGTAAGTGGTTAAGCATGAGAACTGGGTAAACCCCACCGACTCCATCTTGTGATTCAGTTCTGGAGCCAGCTCAGTTCCCCTTCTATCCAATTATGGGTCTAGTCTAACGTATTTTTTGAGAAAACTTTATTCAGTTGTGGGATTTGGAGAAAACCTGATTGCATTGTTTGGACCTAGCCTTGTGTGGCTGGGAAGCTGGACCCCCTCTCCCTCCTGCTTAGAGACTCTTAATGGGGGATGAAGTTTCTGCCGACCAGAACCTGGTCGGGTCCAGACATCAATGCAAGGTGTCTTCCCACAATTGTTCATCTCAAGCAACCCATATGTCTCATCTGAAAACTGGCCCTCTCCTGGTCAGTCAGTTACTGTTTCCCTGTTCCTTTGATTGTTTACAGACATTGCTGGGAAGTGGGAGGGGAACGCCTCTTTTTCTGATTTCGGGGAATTGCCCCGTTCACTCTCCCCCTTCCAACGTGGAAAGCCCCTGATCTTTCATTCAATTAGAAATCAGGTTACCTTATGTTGTGTTGTTCCCTTTTAATTAATTGGTCACATTTGGTTAATTGTTTTTAATGTATCGAAATCTGTCTCCCCCTATATTTGGGGTCCCACTCTAAGCCAAGGAAGGGGCCTGGTTCTGATTTGTTAGGTAATTAGCATTAATTGCCAGTTAGGAATTGGCTTAATAAATTGACTTGCTCAGAAGAGAAACCTTTTTTTCCTCAGCCATTTCATCTTTCCCCTGCCATACCTGGCAGCAGGGAGGAGCTAGTTGGGTGACATTGGCAGCATCTTTGCTTAGGGAAGGCCCATAGCTGGTCACTCCCTTCAGTCTGCTGGGTGGTATAGACACAGCAGGGCTGAGGCAGTAGCCCAGGATTGGGGGTCGGAATCACTGGACCACAGTGTCTGCCTGGCTCTCTGCCCGAGGTGGTTACACGCTTTTCCTCCGCCCTCCTATCACATACGTTGCTCAATACCTTTCATCCACACTGTCCTGACCTAGATTCCTGATAAGTACTGGCTAGAAATGATAGGTTTTGCCATAAACTGCCAGCGACTTTAATTCCACCAGGGCTGGAAGGAGGGAGTACTAGGCCTTAATCCTTTGAACTATATGTCTGTGGGAGGCGACCTTATCACGACTAATGGATTTTATTGATGTCATGGAGTCCCTGAGGCAGGTCGGCACTCAGCCAGCTCCGAGGAAGCAGCGGCCTGGTCGGCCACGCGCCCTCAAGATGGAACACACATCTCTACCGTGCTCTCTTCACAACCAGCCCATGTGGTGGGGAATACAAGCTTTCTCTTTTGTTTTGGTCCAGACAGGGAATTGCATCCATGTAGGGAACTCCCAGGGTGGAAACCTCTTGCCTCC